ACTACTTCAATATCCCCTCATACCACTTTGTATTATTTCCCTGCTTAATGTGTCGGGGTAATCAAAGAAGGAAGGAAGCAGGGAATAGAGTTGCACAGTGGTGCATGGAGAAGAGACGAAATGGTGGGGATGTGATCTGCCGCCTGCGCCTCCCACCTGCCAGACCACTATAAGAAGCACGAAAACTGCGGCTGGAGTTGATCGGCGGGAGCCCGAATGGAGTTAGTGTGATGCAGCATTGGGTATTAAAGCTTGAGAGGAAACACAGAGCGGGAAAGACAGATTCGAGAGAGGCGGACTTGGAGGGTTAAGAGAAGACTGAACTGAGGGGAGAAACGCAGAGGGGGATACATGAAGGGAGGCAGCAAAGTGATCGTCGCCCGCGCTATAGGCAGTGGCAGGGAGGGAGCAAGCAGACACATTGAGGTTACGTTCAAAGGAAGCATGCCACTGCGGCGCGAGCGGAACAACTTGCAAACAATTTCCTTAAAACAGGTACTACTCACGCCTCAAATGTGAACAGGGCTATTCCATCAAAGCTAAAACAAACAACTGTAGTGGAATACTGGGACAACTCTGGCAGTATTCACAGGACAAGATGTACTGATTTTCCAGTTCGGACCGTCAACAAATCAACAGGCCCATTAAGCAATGTAATGCATCCAGTCATGTGCGGATTGTTGTCATTTCTTATTTCAGCAGGAGAGCAGAAACCCCTCTGTCATCAGTAAAGCAACCAGTAATGACTCTGATCATCCCGAGTCCTTTTTGGTCTCATGCTCCACCGCCACACGCACAGATAGCTCCTTACTCACTCTATTAATCTCTCTATCACTCTTTGCTCTTTTCTCTCTCACAATTGCATTTAACAGGATATTCAACATAATCATGCAAACCGAAAACAAAACATAAAAAAACACAAGCTATTTTAGCAATAGCATAGGATCTACAGAATTATATATAAAAATATATTAAAACATGCCTAAATGAGATAGATTATGCAAAATAGCAAAACAGATCACCCATTCCACACACGACTACATATACATCCCCTTAAATTAATCACATTATCTTGTATCAAAGAGGTGATATGGAGGTAAGCATTAAATAAGAGATAAAGATGATCATAAGACGGAAGAATTACCAGACAGATTAATGACAGAAATGAGAAGACCATTATCATAAAATACCGGGCTAATCAAGGATTATTATCATGAAACAGTAATGGAGCATCACAGAAGCATTTCTCATCGTTGCCGGTTATACCACAGAGTGAGATTCTTTATAATTTCCTGGCTTCTTTCACAGCAGCATGCACTGTGGGTACAGGTTTAGGCCTGAGATGATTAGCCTGCTAATGTAAAAGAATAGCACCGACATATTACGTGCAAAAACAGTCGGGCATTGTTCCTGATAGGCAACGTTTGTGATTAGCCCGTGGGTGTAAAGCAGCCTACATTTCCGATATTACGTCATATCGGACACACATCTGGATCAGCTCCGTTGTAGCCCCGTTTTTAGAGATTTGGGTACGGAGGAAAAGAGAGAGGGTTTTATTTTCTGACGCTGCGTGAGTTCCCTGACACACTGGGGACACATATTTATGTCTTGAATCTGCATGTACTGAAATAAACATCATCAACATTTATTTCGAGCTTTGAATCTGTCCACATGATGATAAATGTAAGTCCAATATTCCCTCTCTTTTCATCTCTCCTCTGGTCTCCACCAGCTCCAGAGGGACATATCTGGCTCTTAGCTGCTTAATGCTCCACCATGTTTGACCCATTGTTAATATAGTAAATTCAGATTATTGCAGCTTTAACTAGCATTTTACATATGGCAGTAATGAGATCTCATAATTAACTTAACACGGCACATAGTGAAAGTCTGAAATACACTTTTGCATACTGCATGGTTGTTTCTGTGGAAAAACGTCAGTTAAACCAACTAAACATTTAGTTGACTAAACTAAAATGACTAGTATGCATTTACCTCCACCCAAATCACATACCTTCATAACATCAACCAAGTTGAAATGTTCACCCATTTAAGTATTTGAGGTGGGGAAACAAACAAATACTCAATTGCTTTTTTGATTACTGTGTCCAATGTTTATCATCACTTGCACTGAACCTTGTGAACATTATATACCTTTTTTAAACAGCACGACTAAACATTGATATAGAGTGTTAGACACATAGGAAAATGGAAACAATTCAGCCAGTCTAGGAGAAAAGTGGTCCATTTTTGTTTTATTTTATTAAAAAATTCCACACACCATAAAAATTACATGTACAAAACTATAAGATTTGAAATTGCTTTATGTACACATACAAAAGGTAAAGCCCAAAGAAAAAGTGAGGAGAGCACAGAAGGGAGAAAAGTGAAGACGTTTTTTTTTTTATCTGCTTTTTTTGGGATGTGTCTTCTGAGATGGGTCAAACGGTTTTCGAGGTTCTCTGTCTATTGGCTCTTCTACCAACTTACATCTCTGCAAGGAACAATCATGATGAGAATGATAACAACCTGTGCACACACATCTGGAAAAACACATATCTGAGATGGCATCTGTTTACCACAGACCCCATTTACAATAACCAGCCAATGGTCAGAGCCAAAGCATGGCAATCATGATAGAGATGCTATTATAAAGCACATGTTTTGTTCTGATGATTATCATAAAAGGATTCGTCAGACACATACGAAGATGTCACTCTTTCCAAAACAACATGAAGTGAGATGTGTTATGCTTCATGCTGTGTGCAGGTAGCCACGCTCCATGGTGATGAAGAGGGTTGTGATTATGAAGATGTGCAGAAGGCCTGGATGACTACTACCATGATGTTAACAATGCAGTTCATATACAGTCATACAGCATTTTTCTTCTTGATAAAGTAGGTTAATTCGATTTTCAATTTAGATATCTAGACTAGGCATAGCCCGGTATAAAACAAATTCAAACCGGTTTGATATTAAGCCAATAACTGAACAGATTGATTTGTTCTTTCTAATGGGCGTTGCACTTTACTCAGCGGCTCCTAATTACTCCTCCAACCCCTAATGAAACTACAATTTGATCTCCTTCTTGTTGCCGACTTTCTCAGCTATGCAGTTAATTGAGAACTGTCCGTCAGACAGTAGCTCTTTGTCAAACCTACACAATATTATTTTAATCACCCTTTCATATTGCTTATTACTAATGCAAATTTGATTTACACCGTGGCGCTGATGAAGCGCCGTGGCTTATTTATGAATTTGCCAGAACATGTCATAATGCAAATGCAGGCTCGTCCAGTTGGCATCAAATCAAACTGGTTTAATCAGACCGGACCAGCTAAACCAAATGAAACCTACTCTGGATCTGTAAACGTATTTATTGACGATGAAGTTTAACGATGATGAAATCGGAAATTCACACAATTTGGCTGACTGATTCCCCCGCTACTTTATTATTTTGATCTCTTATCTGTTCATCCGTTTCCGTTTTGACTTCACACATGTGGCTTTCCTCCTGATCACTGGGTCTGAAAGAAAGAATGAGGAAAAACGCATTAATATAAAAATAAAAATAAATCGCTTGCATTTTACTGTAGACAAAGTCAAAACATTTCAAGCATTTGTTTTTCTTAATTGAACAAAAAATGTCATGGCTAAAGTTGTTTGAGGTTTAAACCCAAAATGGATTTAAAACCTGAAACACGAAAATAAATGAACTACGATGTGTATAAATATAATATGATCTTTAAATGCTAAAATTAATTTCTGGATAACATTTCTGCTATACATGTCATGGTCAATGCTGCTAGTTTATTTGGTGTGTGTGTGTGTGTGTGTTTTTTTTAAATGTATTTGTTCTAAACATGTCCACAGAGTCTTTCTCTGTCAGCAGCATCTCTGTGGATCAGACCCGGCCAAATCAGCAGCTGATTACACTTCATGAAGAGCACCTCATCCACTTTAACTCTAGGGATGGCCATGGCAGCAGCTCGGCTGCTCTGATAGAAAACATCTACAGCCCACGTTATTTAATCACATTTAGCTTTGATGTACTATTTGAAAAAGGATAACACGGAAATGGACATTCAATGTTAAGGCAGACTAATAGCATTTGTCAACTGTAGACAATGGAACTAACATGGGTGAAAATCCAGTGTTATAATTTGACAAAAACAACAAGATATTCTCAAAATTATGGTCAGCTTTAGGCAATTTCATGTATCTGCTTTTTAATTAGCAACCAAATCAGTTAAAACTGTTCAATAAAAATAATTATAGAAACAAGCATCCATGTCAGAAAATACATACATCAAGTAATACCATTAGAACAAAATCTATTTCCCTGATGAATAAATCCTTCTAAGTGACTATGGATTCATAGTGTGATGGAGGGAAATTGCCCAACCCACCAACCTTCATGTTAAACTCAAACAAATCTCCCAATGCTGACCTCATTAGTAGAGTAATGTAAGCAT